TTCGGCGCCGTTGTGTTGTGCGGCACGTGCGGGCGGATGTGACGGCTTGTCCCCAGGCTCTCCTGTCCTCTCCGCCAGGTACGTCCCCAGGGCCTCTCCGGAGACATGGCAAATGGCATTTCAGTGCCTCTCCCCTGGGCAGGATCGCGCCGCTTTTACTCTAGTCCCATCCGCGGATGGAGCCCCAAAGCCGCACACAGGGCGTTGGGTCTTCCAGGCTGACGCCAAAGCTCGTGGGAAAATGCAAATATTACTACTCTGGCATGATTGGTACGGATACTCCGTAGTTCGAGATTATTTGTCCCCCTTTTCATTTCTAATTGAACGATCTTTTTGGTTGGCAGCCTAATTTTCCTGTTGCCTGGAGTTTTTGGTGCTCGACCTCTCAGGAAATTGGGCTTCTGGGGTTTTTTAACGGTATCTGTGTAGTGATTGTTAGAAGTGTAAGCCCAAAACTGAGTGTATTTCAGCAATTGACAAATAATGTCATTTGGGTCACAACAGAACCAATAGCCTTGGGGTTTTTCAGCCTCAGTGATTTTGTCATTGAAATATGAAAACTCCTACGAAGATATATTTAAAAAACTGGCATAAAGGTTCCCATTGTAATTGTTTTTAGCATCCTGTAAATAGTTCTTTCCCCCCTCCCCTGCGCATCCAGCTCCTACTACATTTAAACTTCAAAGCAGCCTCCCCTTATCGACTAATGGAGTAGTTGATGGAAATTCCAGCAACGACTTGATTAGCTAATTAATCGCTACGTAACCTCTCTAATACCCATGCACAGTTCTGTTGCTGTAAGTGTGGTTCTGTCTGGGACTAACGGTGCGCAGGTGCCCATCTGACATCAGGGTCTTAAACGTAACCTGACTACAGCTTCATTCTCAATAAATTATCATACTTCTGTAAAACGGGAGAAATGAAATAACAAAAGCTTTGTTGAGCTTGTGGTTTCGAAGCTTGTTGAGATTTTTTTAAGGATGTTTTAACGGTGCGTCTTCTCTAGAATTGCCCTGGAAAGCTTTTTCAATTAATAGAACTAATTTTGTAAGAAGTGTCTGAGAATACAGTGGCTTGTACGCAGTCAAACAGACAATGCCCATTGAAAAAAGGTGACAGCAAAAACCTCCTTTTTAGCCTAATCTCATGTCCTGAAAATGCATATTCTGTCCCTCATCATTTTAACAAACTTGCTGTATAAGAACACACAGACTTCTTTTGATAACAAGTTAGCAGGATGTCTCAGGAGAGCCCTTGGCATTCTCCTCCTCCTCCTCGTTGTTTGTAGAATTTCTGGCATCTGGACACTGTTGCTACAAGGTTCTGCAAAGTGAACCGTGGACAAGGAGAGGGCTCAATAGCCTTTTCGGTCAGCATGTAAGAATTGTTGAGCATTTACCCAAAAGTAACTGTGCCAAATAAAAATGGTTTTTGGTGCGTCTGAGGTTATCTTTGTGACTGCTTGGGAAATGCTGGAAAGAAAAGTTATCTGTACTCTGTAAGTCACGGGGAACTGCTTTTTCTGAGGGTTACTTGGATGTCTTCTAACTTCAGATTGGTGGTGTAAAGATTTCCTCGGTATTGATGTAGCTCCAGTGTCTAGGGCTGTGGTTCTCACTTTTTCGGCAGTCCACAGACACATTGTCCAAAGTCACCTGTCGTGGGCAGGCACCCAAAATCTGTTAGTAAGAAATAAATTTCAAACCAAAGTGTTCAGTGTCTCTCTTTTTTTAATCATGTCTCAAAAAGGAGGAGGTCCACGAAAATGTGTTGATTGGCCTGGTGGTCCGTGGACTGTAACGAGTTGGGAACCCCCGGTCTAGGGGCTATAACCTGTCTCTTGTGGTGCTGGTAAATTGTTTCTGCAAACGGTGCCTCATATTGCTTTGATGTCGGGTTTGCCAGATAGAGGAGAATCTCCACGCGATGCCAGTCTTGCCGCTGGATGAACTGCAGCTGACCGAGACGGATCCAAAGACCGGGAAACTGAGGACGCTGCCAGCATTGGTGAGTTGTTCTGTTTTTGAAATTAAAACACGCCACAAATCCTTCCCTCATTTCATGAAGCAACTAGAGCAAAACCGGTTCTGGGGCCAAACTGCAGTGAAACCCAAAGAGCTTCCCGACAGGAGGAGGCCTAGATTGTTTGACGGGGAGCGCTGCCGTTCCTGCGCTGGAGAGGAGGCCTGCTGACGTTTGAAACTCAGTTTAGAAGCTTATCATCAGTCTTTGCCCCGCTCCCACTACACTCTGCCCTCGCCAATGTAGTCTGGCGGCCACCGGCTGAAGTAAAATCTCAGCGCAGGGCAAGTTGCGCTAAAGGAGAGCAAAGTGTCTCAGGGGTGACTTTGAGCTGCTGTTGGGTTTGACGGCGTGGGAGGGTTGCATGTCAGTTATTGATCTGAATGGGACAGCAGGCGCAACACGAATCAACTGGGCAGGATTCTGCAA